TGCTTTTTAATATGCTATCTAGATTAAATTAGGCTTTAGTAAAAACTCTATAAACCTCTTAAAAGTGCTCTGAAATCATCCTCAAAATTTCTGCAAAACTTCTCACCTATTGTCTCATCCTCTGATAATCCACTTAGTTTTTCCTCACATTATCAGAATTCAGCATAAATTTTAAAATGATTTCTCATGTTATTTGATTGCTTTTTCATTAATTATTAATAGTGACAAAATATTTTCCATGTTTTTATTGCAACTATACAATATTTGATATAGAGTATGCAGCACATCAACTTTTTATTTGCCTAACCAGAGTTCATACCCGCTTACACCAATATCTTTACAAGAACATGAGCTTCTCATTGAGATCAGTTCCAAATTCAGAAAGAAGAGAACTAAGTCCCAACAACTTAGAAAGGTCCTAAGTGATGGGTCTTGGAGAAATTGAAATTGTAATGTCTGCTCTGTGTATGATATGTTGACCACAGCAGCATTCAAGCAACAAGCTTGCCCAAAGAGTTGGACCTCAAGAGCCGGATTCCAATTTTGGAAAACACAGAGGACAGAGGAACACATTAAATGACATGACACCAGGCAAATTCAGAATGTTGGGTATTTCTTCTGGATGACCGACCCAGTCTTTGCAACAGGAAAAGAAAGAAGACTATACCAGCTTATTGTTGCTGTTGTTCAGTCGCCAAGTCATGTCTGAATTGCAGCATACCCAGGCCTCTCTGTCCTTCACCTTCTCCCAGAGTTCACCCAAGTTCATGTCCATTGAATTGGTGATGCCATCAAACCATCTCATCCTTGGCTGCCCTCTTCTCCTTTTGCCTTCAATCTTTCCCAGCATCAGGGTCTTTTCCAATGAATCGGCTCTTCAGATCAGGTGGCCAAAGTACTGGAGCTTCAGCTTCAGCATCAGTCCTTCCAATGAGTGAGTATTCAGGGTTGATTTCCCTTAAGATTGACTGGTTTGATCTGCTTGCTATCCAAGGGACTCTCAAGATTCTTATCCAACATCACAGTTTGAAAACATCAATTCCTCAGCATTCAGCTTTCTTTATGGTCCAACTCTCACATCCATACAAGACTACTGGAAAGACCATAGCTTTGACTATATGGACCTGTCTTTGCTTTTCAATATGCTATCTAGGTTTGTCATAGCCTTTCTTCCAAAAAGCAACCATCTTCTAATTTTATGGCTGCAGTCACCATCCACAGTGATTCTGGAGCCCAAGAAGAGAAAGTCTGTCACTGCTTCCACCTGTACCAGCTTATAGGACATCAAGGGAAAGAACACAACCAAATGCAATGTGTGGACCTAATTCAGATCTGTATTTTTGCAATCAACTGTAAAAATGCATTTTAGAGGCAATGAGGGAAATATTACTATGGACTAGTAATTACATGTTGTTAGAGGATAATTTTATATTTTGCTAGATGTGATAGTGACAAAGTGGTTATGTAAGAATATGTTCATTTGGGAGGGGGAGTGATGCCCAGTGAAATACTTGGGGCTTCCCATGTGGCTCAGTGGTAAAGAATCCCCCTGCCAATGCAGGAGAGATAGGAGCTTCTATCCCTGGGTCGGGAAGATCCCCTGGTGAAGGAAATGGCCACTCACTCCAGTATTCTTGCCTGGAAAATCCCATAGACAGAGAAGCCTGTCCATGGGGTCTCAAAGAGTCAGACACGACTGAGCAACTTAGCATGCATGCTTGTGAAATATGTAGGATATAATAGAATGTCTGAAATTCACTTTAAAATATTTTAGCAAATTAAAAAAAAACTACATGATCAAATGTGGGAAGTTTTTGATAAATTGTTGAATATGAGTGGCAGGTAAGTAGGATATGTTCTAAAATATTCATAACAAAAATTTTAAATGTTATAGTCAAATAGATTGATAAAAAACTCCCCATTATCAAAAATAAATAACAGTGATTTTTAAAACTATTTGCAGACTTTAAATACAAATATATTGTTCATAATATTTTATACAATTCTCTGAAGTCTCTGGCCTCAATAAGTTTGTATCTTTCACCACCTAATTCCACTCACTGTTAATATACCATGAGAAAATAACAGAGAAGGAAAAATACCCAAAAGTATTCATGAAGCCTTAATTATAACAGAGGTAATTTGGAATTTAAATATAAAATATAGGAGAACATGAAGTGAATTATTATGCATCAACATAATGTAAAACCTGAAGCCTATCAAAAGTGATAAGAATTTGAGCTATGTAAATACATGAAACCAAGTATACACTGACATAGATTATAAGAAATTCATGGTTGCAAGTGACAGAAAACCCATCCCAGGCTGGCTTAAGGAGAAAAGGAAATCAATTGGCTGATGGAAATGAAAAGTTTAAAAGACACAAAAATCACTGTGAAATGAATTATAGACAAATGAAAACACAAAATAGGAAAAAATTTTAGAAGAAAACAAGGACAAAAATCTAGGAGACTCTGGATGTGGTGATGCATTTTTAGATATAATATCAAAAGCATCATGAAAGAAAAATCAATTATTAAAACTAAATTAAAGATGTTAAATATTAAAGTGGTTTATTAAACTAAATATTAAAGTTGTTTATTAAAACTAAAACTTGTGCTCTGCTCTATCAAAGACTATGTTAAGAAAATGAAAAGACAAGCCACAAACCAGGAGAAAATATTTGCAGAACATTTATCTGATAAAAGACTTGTCTCTAAAATACATGCAGAACTGTTCAAACTCAACAGTAAGAAAATAAACAATTATTTTATAATAGGCAAACATTATGAACAGACATCACATCAAAGAAAATATTCAGATGGCAAATAAGTATATGATCATTGGCCATTACGGAATTATGAATTAAAACAGCAGTGAGACGTAACTACATCTGGTAAGAATGGCTAAAGGTGAGAACAGAAAGATAACCAAACGCTGACATGGGTGCCAAGTAACAGGGACTCTCACTTAATTGCAAGCGAGATCGCAAAACGGTACAGCTGCTATGCAAGACCATTTGGCAGTTGCTTTTCTGATTTGTTGCTGTTGTTGGAGTGTAGTTGCTTTACAATATTGTGGTGGTTTCTGCTGCTCAAGGCAGTGAATCAGCCACATGGAAACATATATCCCCTCCCTCCTGACCCTCCCTCCCACTAACGCACACCCCACCCTCTAGGTCATCTCAGAGCACAGAGCTGAGTTCCCTGCTCTATTCAGAGCTTCCCGCTAGTTAGTTAGTTTTTACACATGGTAGTGTATATGTGTCAATCTTTCTCTCCCAGTTCGTCTCACTCCCCCCTTCCTGCCCTGTGCCTACACATTGTCTTCTCTGTGTGCATCTCTATTCCCGCCCTGCCAACAGCTCATCTGTACCATCTTTCCAGATTCTACTCATATGCATTAAGATACGATATTTGTTTTTCTCTTTCTGACTTATTTCAACTTGGCAGTTTCTTACAAAGCTAAACAGAGTCTCACCATATGATCCAGCAATCACACTGCTGAGTATGTACCAAATTAATCTGAAAACATATCCATGCAAAAGTCTCATAGAAGTTTTTTTTTTTCTTCCAGAATTGCCAAGATGATTAGGTCAAAAAATTGTGATACAACCCTACAATGGAAGGCTATTCAGTTATAAAAATAAGTGAACACTCCAGCCATGAAAAGACATGGAGGAAATTTCAATGCACATTGACAAGTAAATGAAGCCAATCTAAAAAGGCTACCCACTGTATGATTCCAGCTCTATGATATCCAGGAAAAGGCAAAACTTTAGAGAGAGAAAAAGAATCAGTGGCTGCCAGGAACTCAGTGAGGGAAAAGGGGGGATGTGTAGGTGAAGCACAGGGACAATTAAAGGGTTGAAAAGTACTGTCATGATGGGTACGTGACCTTACGAAGTTGTCAAAACCTGAAGACTTAGCACAGAGAGCAAAGCTTGGTGTACGCAAATTTAAAAAATCATTTAGGAGTCTGGAGGATTTTAGAATAGAATCTAGACAGTGACAGGAGAATAACTGTATTACAAGTATATAAACCAGTCTCACTGGAGGGAGTGGGTGAAAGGAGCTGACCTTTGGTAACTTTGACCTTAAGTAACTTTGGAAATGAGCAGAGCCCTGAGCCCAAAGGCAAAAGGAAGGTAAGGAACATTGTACTCTAGCTGACCAAGTTTCTTCTCCTGAAGTACTGGTTAGCAATTCTGATACTTGTATACACATACATATGGCTTCTCCAGTGGCTTAGATGGTAAAGAATCTGCCTGCAATGCGGGAGACCCCGTGGAAATTAAACAGTTAAATAAATGGGTGGCAAAGAGTAGGAGCCAAGCTTCTCATGATTGCAGTGAGAATTTACAGATAAGCAAGGGATATGCTTAAAAATAGGCTTGTAATTTTAAAACATAAAGGAAATAAGATAAAATTGTGACATTTCTTGCACAAATCACAATTAGTCATAGTCTATTTAACTACATTTAAAAAACTGAAGTATAGTTTATTTACAATGTTTCATTAGCTTGAGGTACACAGCAAAGTGATTCCATTATACATATACATAATTCCACACAGACATACCATCCAAATCATTTAAAGCAAGTTGAAGGAACAAAATGCCAGCTGACATTTTACTAAGCTTACATCTTGCTCAAATTTTTATCAATCAAATATGTCAAATTTATAAAAACACAAGAAACTTAAATCAGTAATAATGAAAATATGATCACTACTATAATTTGTATTAACATCAAAGCAGCCCCAGTTACACAAAACATAAACAGTATCATATGAAAAAATTCCTAAATTAGTGAGAACAGGACATCACAAACCTATTCAAGGCAACTCAGCCCAGGCTGAGTGCATAATAAGAGCAGCAGAATCATGTAGAATAAGTGTGTGGTTCTTTCCTCCTCAAGTCCATTATCATTTGAGTATCATATAGCTGAGCGATTAAGGAAGCTTCAGTCTCCTTGTGAAAGATACAGAAAAGCCCTTTACCTGTGAACACCATCTGCTTCCCCACTGTGGCTGATACTGGTTTTCGAAAGGTCACACACGCCATGGCCAAGGTTGTAGCTGTGCTACTGATTTTCTTTCCCAACTTCCTCAGTCCAATTTATCTGCACCAGAAAGAGCAAAGACACTGCTATATCTCCTTTCCCTGTCTGTGACCTGAACTAGGTGGTTGCTAAGGACTCATTATGACAGGAAGGCAGAGTGTTCCTTCTAACACTGTTCAGTATTCCAGCCCCCAGGAATAGACACACAGCCGCAACATCCCCAGGAATGGTGCCCAAACATCTCATTCCCTTATCTGTCAACATCAAGTCAAGAACAGACCTGTTAGGGTACTAGAAATAGAGCAGCCTTATGGCACCCATGACCTGACAGACTCAATCAACACCATCTTTCAAAACAGCCTCAAAAAATGTTGTGCAGAAGGGTGTTATCACAAAACCAAACAAAAAAATCACAAACTTGTGGTTAAAAGCTTTTGAGGAAACCTAGCTAGATAAAATACAAATAAAAACTATATTAATAAATGAATAAAATAATTGCTTATATATTTCCCCCATATTCCAGTACTTCCTTAAACACAATCTATGCCTCAGTCACATAGTCTACTTGTGGTTGCCATCATGTAAGATGCTCTTTCATTCTTCTGAGCCTTTACCCATTCATTTGTTCTTCCTGTAACATTCCTCTGGGTATATTTCTTGTCCCCTGTGAGGTGGAGCCCACGTCTCCTCTCCCAGGAGAAGGTCTGCAGGCACAGCTGACCACTGGCTCCTTCATGTCCCTTTAACTTCTATGGCATATTTTTTATACCTACCTGTTAAACTCCTTCCACTTTGCTTCATTTGTCTATTTTCTCGGCTTCCTACTAGAATCCAACTCCCAGTTCCGGGGAAAAGCATCTTTATTCATATTTCAATTTCCAGAGACTACTATCCAATAGACACTTAAGAAATGTTTGTGGGATGAATAAATCACCAGCTAATTCTAGCCTTCCTGGAAATATAATATTGACCATTTGATAATCCATGGAATATAAACTCTAATGGCAATTTTGAATTCAATCTTAAATATACAGCATGTATTCTTTACTGAAAATGTAATGCCTTTTGTTTGAGAGAAATTACGCTAAGAACACTCTATGTGAACTATAGAGAGGGTTGCTAGTCGGCTAGCAAAGGGGTGTGCCCCCAAGTCTCCCTTCAAGTGTATGCTTTAGGGCTTCCCCGGTGGCTTAGTGATAAAGAATCTGCCTGCCAATGTAGGAGACACGGGTTCAATCCCTAATCCGGGAAGATCCCACAAGCTGCGCAGCAATTAAGCTCATGTGCCACAACTGTTGAGCCAGTGCTCCATAGCCCAGGAGCTGCTGCAACTACTCAGTCCATGTGCTACAACTATTGAAGTCAGTGCAATGAGAAGCCCACACACCACAACTAGAGAAAATCCTGCACAGCAACGAAGACCCAGCACAGCCAAAAACAAACAAATAAATAAAAGGGGCTGCTTTAGTTGCGGGGAGCTGGTCTCTGTCAGAAGCCAAGCCCTCCCTGGGCAGCATGGTCAGAAGACTCAGTGAGATGAGGGGATAAAGTCATATGTTTCCACCTGTCATGGGATCATTTTTCACGGTGAGCCAAGGCTTTGTTGAGCCCTTACCACAGTTCAGCTTCTTCCTCTGCCCAATCCTGCTTCAGCTTCTTTCTGTCCACAGGTATAGATCTCAAATAACCATCTTGTCCACCACCAGCTTCCAAAGAGCATGACCAGAGCATGACCAGACCGCATAGATGTGTAACAGAAAAGAAAGACCTGACTCCAAATTGGATCTGTTCCTTTAGCTCTAACCCTTGTGTTCTGTTGCCTGTACTGTCTTGCAGGCTCTGACCTTTGTGAAAGAATGTTGCCTCTCGCCTAAAATATAGCCCATTCTCAAGATTCTGATCTTTAAAAGTGTGACAGTCTTCCATCCATATAGAGATTAAAAGTTTCAGAACAGATAATAACATTTGTCTTGTTGGAGGTTTATAGGAACATTGGGACCTAATCTACCTGGACAATTGCAAGAACAAAGGATTCTAGCACCAAGAAGTTTGCAACCAGTCACAACCTCTCCCCTTTAGTATAAAAGTAGCCTGAATTCTATCTCAACTAGGATGGTTCTTTGGGACATGAGTCCACCATCTTCCCCGTCTGCTGGCTTCCTGAATAAAATCACTATTCCTTGCTCCAGCAACTTGACTCTAGGTTCATTAGCCTGTTGTGCAGTGAGTAGGAGCATCTTGGTCTCAGTAACAGATGCACATGCACAAGTGTGTTATACTGGAGGGCTTTTCATTTTAACAACTCAATCCTTTAACTAGAAGCTATTCTATTTCTGCAGAACAGGCAAGTCAAGTCAGTCTTTTTCGCTACTAGTCTTTGATCTGTTTGGCATGGCACTCTTAACCTCTGCAGTCGCAGAGGCTTTTCTACTCTTCTTGAGGTTAGCCAGTTCTTGTTACTATAATCGAGGGCTCTCTAACACCAGCTGAAAGCTTTTCTCTGAAAATTCCCTATTTGTGTCCTTGGAACTACCACTTTCCAAGACAATCAAGTTTGAAACCTCCTAGGGGAAGAGAGGAGCCCACCCATTCAGCTTTCTCACTCTGGTTTTCGGTTTTTGTGATGGTGAAAGAGAAGGGAAGGAGGAACCTGAATGAGGAAAAGTAATTCTTTAGTAAAATACACTTTTGTCCAATGACCTCCGGTTAACCTTCCCTGGAAATTCAGGCTTCCACTTTGCCTTAGAGACTGTTACAAACTTTACAGTCTGCTGTGGGCTTAAGGTCAGCAATTCTGCTGGCAAAAAGCTGGAGGGAAAGAAAAATAGAGGAGAGTTATGAGTTTTTCTCTGGGAGGCTATTTCACCAACTCAATACTTATTTTGGTTCATTTGTTGTATTTTGTTAGTGATTGAGTCGCTTTGCTATACATCAGAAACTTAACACAATATTGTAAATCAACTTTATTTCCTTTAAAAAGCAAAGGAAAAATTAATTAAAAATTTAATAATTAAATGAAATATTTACATGGTTCCAAGACAAAATCCCTAAAATAAAGGATATTTAGAGAAGTCTAGCTTTTATTCTTGCCATCTACGTCTTGATACCTCTTTTTCCTTAAAGGAAAACTTATAAAAACTAAAAGAAAAAACAGATTTATAATCATATCCTCCCTTTTCTTAGAAAAAGAGTAGCAAACCAAACACATTTTTCCACCTTACCTTTATTCAGCTAGACCTCTATTAATGGTTATCTGGGCTGTTTCCAATCTCTTGCTCTTATAAAACGTGTCAAAAAGTATGCGCTCAGTTGCTCAGTTGTGTCTGACTCTTTGCGACCCCACCAGGTTCCTCTGTCCATGGGATTTTCCAGACAAGAATACTGGAGTGGGTTGCCATTTCCTTCTCCATTATAAAGTATGAGTTTGTGCAAATATTTTGTTACATATTTAGCAGTACATCTTTGGGGTAGATTCCTGGAAGTATGATTCCCAGACCAGAGGGTAAAAGCATATATAAGTTAGCTTGGGATTGCCAAATTTCTCCCCTCATAAGGGTTGAAACATTTTGTTTTCCAACCAGCAATATTTGAGAATTCCTATTTCCACACACTACCCACAGAGTGTTTTATCAAACTTCTAGATTTATGACAGATAAAAAATGGTCACATAGTAATTGACATTCTTATTTTATCAACAAGACCAAACATCTTTTCCTATGTTTAGGAGCTATTTGCATGGTTTTCTAAAACCCTTCTGGTCATAGCTCTTGTGTATTTTTTAGTATCAGGCATTGGGCTTTTTCTACTTGTATAAGAATGAGCTAACATTCCAAAGAAGGACAGTAGACCGACAGATACTCACAGAATCACAGTGAAGGACAATGATGGTGACAAGCATACATTGAGTCCCTAGTTTGTTCCCAGAGACACTGGAATAAAGGGGAGGGTCACCTGCCATTCCTGGGGCAGAGGGTGAGGCTCACATCTGAACTGTGCCAAACAAAGATGAGGATCCGGGCAAGGAAAGGAGGCAAGGGATGGGGCAGGTGGAGAGAGAGTTCTGGACAAAGCAGACCGTTTGAGCAAATGGCCCAGAGGGGAGACACAGCCCAGAGAACTCTGCAGGGCACAGAGGGTAACAGGTAAGGAGGCCGCAAGGGGTTCTGCCAGGCCCGCCTGGAGTGGAGAATCTACTCTGTATGCAGTGGGGATCCCCGAAGGTTCAAATGGACAGAGACTGCTCAGTCTTGGGTTTAAACAGAAGATTCTAGGCTGGGTGGAGACTGAGCTTTAGGGAGCAGCAGGCAGGGTTGGAAGTGGTCCTGGCAAGTGAGGCTAAGGCAGAAGTGACAGAGCGGGTGGAGAAGGGATGCATTCGGGAAAGGTGCTGAGTCAAGGTTGTAAGGAGTCGGGAGGACCCAGGTTCTCCAGCCTCAGTGATGGTGAGTGATGGTGAGGACCACAAAATAAAGTGGAGAAATCAAGAGAAAGAGAGAAAACCAAGGCCAGTAAGTAGAATGACGGTGTTAACTCAGTGTGGACATAACAGGCTAACTGAGCAGCTAAAATAAAGCCCACATTGTCATCAAATGTTCTGACAGCCTCTAAACTCATTACAGGGGATTAAAGACGATTTCCCACAGCTACCAGATGCACTTCTATTAGAGAAAATCCCTATTGTTTATTAATCAGCAGCAGCCTCCTCTGATGACGCTCAGGGTTTACTGGTCAGCACAAATGAAATGTCGGCTATTGTCTTACTTTGCTAATGTAACAGCTACTTGAGAATTGAAAACCATTTCACGGTACAGCTGTGGACACCAGTGCTGAACCCTGCAAAAACGCCTGGTCCAGCATTTGGGAAGGCATCAGGCTATACATTTAATGACAGAAAGTGACACAAACTAGAAATTCCCATAATACAGCAATGGAACTTCCCTCCAGGTGAATATAGGTCAGAACTTGCTAAAATTACATACTAATGCTGAAATATCCTATTACTAAGTACATTTTGCAGACTGGGGAGCTTGGCCACCCCTGCACTGGTGAATCTTTCTTTATACCATTAAGTGCCAAATATTTTTAGGTCTTTTGCTTACATTCCTGTTTTTAGGCAACAATCTGG